CCTACGTCAGTTAAACATCGTAATCCGCTTGTCCGCCTTGCCGACCCAATGCCGCACAGTCAGCCGAGGAAGTCATGCTGTCTGGGAAGAACTCATGTACATGGATATTGGAAGATTCCTCATCTTCCCATGCAAGGCACCTAAGCTGACCCTCATCATCCAGAAACAATTTGAACATTGTCGTCACGGTGGCTTGAAAAAGCCAAATTTAAACTTGTGGAATTTGTTGGTTTGTTTGATACATGTAGCTGCTTTTTAAAAAACGCATTTTAAACTTTTGATGAACAGAGCGCACAGTAGACAGAATCTAAAGCTGAAAATGCTCCAGGAGCCAAACGTAATTGAAAACAAAGGTGATTCCTGCAAATGCAACAGAGTGGACTATGAGTCAGTGTATTTGTTAACGTCAGACTGCACGATGATCTTTACAGTGCTGTCAAAAATTCGTGACGCAACTTTGTCCTCAAACATCTCTTTAACGGGTGAATCAATTTTACCTAAACTGCACAGCAGTTGGTATCAATTTATCTAAACGTATTCATATTTTTCCATAACAATTGAAGCTAGACTTATAAACGTATCTTCATGAATTTATATAAAATACTAAAATGGGGCCGACTGGTCAGCCCACAGCTCGTGTTATAGAAACACTGCGTGTGTGTGTGAGCTCATTATATGCGCAGAGCAACGCGTGCATTCGCTGACCTCGATTCTCTGACGATGCACAAATGCCGACCACCTCGACTAAGGCCGAAGAAGGACACCGTCTCACTGGGCCCAGGCCCAAGCTCACCATTTTAATAGGATTATAGCTTGTTATAATATTGTAGCAGTGTTTGCTAACTAAGTTTACACAAAGATTCAAATGTATGATCTTTGACATACATTAAGGCCTGGTAGGCTATATTTATATGAATACATAAAAATAATAATTCTATATTGGCTTTTTTTAAAAGCATAATTTTTATTACACAATGTAATGAATTATAGATCTAGACCTAGATCTAGATATCTAGCGGTTGTTTTTTTTTTCATTGATAGATCTAGCACGGTACATTATTATAATATGTCGTGGAACTAGCCCATATCTTCCTTTTTATTGTTGTTTTTTTATATACTGAAAAGTAACGTTTGCAAAATTGCTTTGCTTTCCCTTCGTTTACTCCCAAATTATTGTGATTATTATAATAGGCTGTGCAATGTATGTGGTTTTCATCAACGCATGGCGGATATAATACTATCCTCAGACGTCTGCGAATAGCCTCTCTGTTAACACAGCAGCCTACAGAGTTATCCCCAGTCGACACTGGAACTCACAAGTCACAAGAAGTGTGTAGTATTGTAGCAACCAAAATGGCGACAAACAAGGGTCAGGAGAAGAGAAGTTCTTCGACCAGACTGTCAACAACCACCTCCACAGGCAATGATGAGGAAAATGAAGTCAGTTTGTGTGATCCTAAGCTTCCGGATAACACACGGAGTTCAATCATCTTGGTTAAAATGTTATTATATAATTATTGTGTCTATCTTGAGATAAAAGTCAGTCAGTCTGGTCAAGGCTAGAGAGTAGAGAATAGGCTAGGGCCTAAGTAGAATAGAATTCGATTGAACTTCCCATTCTTAGTCTCTAGATCTTGTCTAGATTAGATATTGTGAGTTTTGAATCTCGGATTTAACTTGTGAAATATTATTTACTTTTTTTTTGGAAAGTGGCTATTCTCACCCGTCCGGAAGTTCTCGCAAGATCAACTCCTCCCCTCTTCTCTCTCTCTCTGTCTCTTTCTGAATA